CCTTTCTTCCTTCCTTCCTTCATTCCTTCATTCCTTCCTTCCTTCCTTCTTTCTTTTTCTTTATAGTGATTATTTTGTCTGTTGGACTCTAACTTACAGGCTGTAAATTATTATTCATTTTTGTATTCAGAAGGTTTCGATCCACTAATACGTATTACATTTTTAACTTTATTAAATTGTTTATCGTTTCTAACTTGGTTTTCATGAAAACCAATTGTATAATTGATGGAACTATTTTCTTTGAGTTCAAAATAAAGTATCATTCATTCAGTCTTTCATTCATTCATTTATTCATTCATTCATTCTTTCATTCTTTCTTTCTTTCTTTCTTTCTTTCTTTCATTCTTTCTTTTTTTCATCCATCCATACTTATTTTCAATTCCTTTTTCAATCAGAGTTGTAAGCAAGTACGAATAAGCTACATCTTTCTGACTTTCAGTAAATTTCGTCTTGTTTTCATTTTTGCCATTTCTCTTTTCAATGAGTTAATTAAACAAAATCGAGTAATTAATACGACTAATGAACGTGCAAAAGGATTCTAGACACATCTGAACATTCACTAATTCTCAGAGTTTGACAGGGTTTGATCTGTGACTTAGCAGTGTCCAGACTTAAATAAGTAAATATTCAATTCAGTGTTAGAGACGATAGACAGAGGGAAGAGAATATTAACCTACTGTTTAGGAATTCTCTTAAAATTCCAAATATTTGAATAATTTAGGAGTTGTTGGTTAAATTTGTGATGATAAAAAAAGATATGCATAATAGAAGACTAGAATAACTAGCTAAAAACTAGTGTGAGCTGCTTCGGTATATATATATATATACACTCGATTGCAGAAACGTTGTAGTATACATTTATACATATATCTAATTTATTCAGTATATTTAATAATATGCAAAACGAAAAAAATCGCTTTATTCATTGTTTGTTTCATTCAATGACTATCAAAATATTTTTTCTTGTCTATTAGATCGTAGAGATTATAAAGTTGACTTCTATCAAAGTTCTGACAAATTCAAATTTTTAAATGCTCGATGACTACCACGCGCCGTGACCAAAATAGAGTTAAGGAAATTGTATTGGTATTTATTACAAGTTGATTTTTACGATAGGAAGCGCAAATCGGAGAAACCAAAGAAAAACCCTCGAAGCACAGGAAAGTAACCACGAGAAACTTTACTCACATATGTGATGGCGGATCCAGGGATTCAAACCACGACTAGCCTTAGAGGCGAGGTAAAAAGGCGGCTCATTAGCAGCGAACATCGCCCGTCTCGTTCAATTTCCACAAAACTGATACAAGAATTCGATTCCCAAGAGCAAAGAGAATATATTGTTCTGCCATCTAACTATAGGCAGCCCAAGTAATATTATGGGCGTTGGCACGTGATGGTGCAAAACCTCTATAGCATAAATCAGGACACGATTTTACTAAATAAATGCAACTTTTATTGAAGCATTTTATAAAACCTTCACCGACACAGTGTCGTCTCGGCTTGCTTTCTTCATTTCCACGAGATGTGAGTCAGACACCAATTAATTTAAGAAATAAAAAAAATCATTGATACGAAAGGAATACTGTCGCAAATTGTAAACCGAGATATTGACGTTTGATAGCAAAGACAAAACAAAAATTAATATTTTCCCCTGAAATTGAATGAAATGACAATCAAAAAGATAAGCCTTTTTAAAACCAGAATAAGAAAAAAAAAACAAGAATATTAAAGTATTATTCCTTAAACAATGAATGTTTAGTGTTGGGGATTAGCGGGTTTTCGCAGTGGCGTCAGTTCCAGATTTTCCTTTCCCGGGAATTGTTTCTTTTCAAATTTAAATTAGTAAATAATCTCTTAATATATATTTCTTATTTGTATAGGAAATCTCGAGTACAATTCGGAAGTTTTTTGTTTTTTTTAAAATTGGAACGAGCAGCTTTAGCCGAGACTCTGAGAACTTGCAAAACATCACGAGTATCTATATAAATTCCGAATTGTACGAGAATATCGTCAAAATAGAGCAACTTAATTGGGACTCTACAGAGTAAAATTTGGGATTTAATAAACTCCTTTTTTCCCAAACAGAATCGAATAATTTTGTTGAGTATATTATAAGCTGAACAAATCCTCTTGCATGCTCTGATTGCCAATTGTTAGACCTCTTGATCGATATTTAAATACTGAGAAAGAATACTTATAAAAAATTAACACACCTGCTATATAGTAAAAAATATAAACATTCATAATCTGTAGATTGGTGCGCGGCATGATTCTACACCAAGTAATGAATATCTCAGTTTAACATAGTATTTTAAAGACTTTAAATCTGTCAATAACTTATACCTACTTCATTAATACGAATATTTGAATAGTAATTATTTGGATTTTATTCGGAGATTAGTTTATAATACATTTGTTCAACTCTTACGTCATAAATCGAAAGATACCGAAGGTAAGATCCTTGGCAACAGAAGATTTTAGGAAGTACTATAGAAAAGATTTTCTTTGTACAGGAGGTCTCACAACCTTGGAAAAACTAGCGGTATTCCACTGTATTTATCAGTGCAATCCTTTACATGAATCCTTTGAGATAAGACTGAACCGCCTTGAGGAAGTGAACTGCAGGTGCTCCAACAAAAATACTGAGCCAAGAAAAGGATTCAGATATCAAATTTCCCCAATTAAAATACGTTGTCGTTCGCGTAGCCATCAAGTCTAATATTCATATTAGGTAATCTTACCTTAATTGGAAGTTAAAATAGTGTTTTTTCCCGCCATTTAAGGCTTCAAAATGTCAAAAATAGGAATCCAAACTTGCAGATATTATAGCAAAGTAACACTTAAGTCCACCATCTTGAATTTAGCTTAGAAACCTGGCCTTAGACAAAGGAAGCCCAAAACATGGAGTGATGTAAAATCTGTACAAACTGTAGCTACTCTAGCCAAATTGAATTTGTATCATAGCCATAAAACATATTCATTTTCCATTTTCACATATTCACTGGGCTTAACAATGTGAGGGTGGCTAACTAAAAACAGATGAAATTGGAACTTCGCTTGGTGTTAGGTTCAATCGGAGCGGAGGAAAACCGGAATTCGAAACCCGGGTAAAAAGCCGTCTTGAATCGAGGGAGTGACGGTAGGTATTTTTCATAAAAACAAAAACAAGCTCTTAACATTTGTTAATCTCTATTTCTCTTCAGTCAAAACCAATTATTTTCACTGCAACAATGAGGAAATGAGGCTATTTCTGAAAGATAATTCGTAAATGTTCTTCCACGGATGAGCTTAGTTTTCTTTATCTTCGAGCAAAAGCTGTTGTTTATCGAGATAAAAACTTGGAATCAAAAAAAAAAAAAAAAAGAAAAAAAAGAGCTACGAATAAAATGTTCACTGATTGGCTAATTCTTTCGGGCTAAGATAAGCCCAGGAATCATCTGGNAAAATGTTCACTGATTGGCTAATTCTTTCGGGCTAAGATAAGCCCAGGAATCATCTGGAAAACGCACACAAAAGGTTATTAAAGCCAAGAAGTAAATGTTTTCGTTCAAATCCAATTTAATACTTTTATCTTTTTGTATCTTATTCCTATGAATTTAATGTTTAAGATTTTTTTTTCAACTATTGAATTTGTACATCCGTTATATAGTCCAATAGCGCGGTCAAAGACATAACATATCAGTCGACAAGTTTAACTGAGCAAATCAATTGGTATTATATTACGTATCCATTTATCAGTCACTGTCAATGTTTTACTCGTTGCTGCAATAGTCCTAATAGTTTTTATAGGTATCTGACAGTCAATATGAATGAGTTTTCAACTATTATAGTTTTTTTTTTTTTGCGATGGTATAAGAGCTTCAAATTTCAAATTGATACCCTGAAACAACCTCTGGGCTGATATAAGTCAGTGCACGGCTAACTTACATATCGAGCCCTAAAACAACCTCTGGGCTGATCTAAGTCAGGGCAAGGCTAACTTTAGCTTGTTGGGCTTCGCTGAGGAAGGAAAATCCAAGACTGACACAAGGTAATCACTGTTAGCCAGGCTTAGCAGTGTCAAGGTTAGACTAAATGGAGCACAGATAATGAAAATCAATGGATAATAAGATTAGGATAAAAATATTTTCATTGTCACTTTTGAAAGCAATGCGCTTTAAAATCGCGATTACAAATAAAGGTTTTTCGAGATATCCTGCATGATTAAACCGGTATTGAGGGCGCCATTACATCTACGCGGCCTATATAATAGAATATGCATAGCTTAAGTCTTCCGCATGGAACACTGAGTACTCCCTCAACAGACATTAAGGCTAGTCTTTCCTCCAACGCGAGGTGTGGGTACTTTCCTCCAACAGTTTTTTTTCCAGAAAGTTATCAAAATAATCAACTAAATGAAGTGATAGATGAGTGGGCAAGGAACCGTGGAACGTTTGAAAATTCCGCGTTCCCTGACAAAAAAAAAAAAAAGCATTCATAATATTTAAAGGCAATATTCGTGTAACGGGGTAAGAGGAAGACGATTGGCTCCGTTGATCCGGAAATCCTTAAATTCGTTTCTAAGTTTGGTAACATTAAGTTATATGGAATTTTAATTGATTTGGTAATGATATTACGACACGGGGAATATATATCATATGTATGTAGATGATGGGTGTAGATTTAAGACTGATGTCCAACGAAGAGGATGATTAAGCTACGAATCGGTCGAATTTCGTAACAGGTTAGTTCGACATTGTGCATGGTAATACAAGATATCGTCCCAAGAACAAAATTTCGTTCAACTTGATAATAACTTGATTTGAAGCCAATGATATAAAGATATATGATATATGTTTTAAATTGAATAAAAAAACGAGTGTTTTGGAATAGTCAATATGGCAGCAACCTTGATCATGTTTGTCAGATTCAGGCAATCAAGGGGAAGATTAATTTAGTATGAATTTTGAGATCTAATATCGCAGTTTTGGTTATTACCAGAACATCTGTTTCGTTGGATAGTCTGTGCGTTGTAATTATTGCATAAACCATAGTTTTCTTCACAACTTAACATCAAAATATTTCCTCTGAAAAAGTCTTTATTAATTTCATTATTATTCCTATGTTCGTTAATAATAATAATAGTAGTAGCAGCAATAATAATAATAACAATAATAATGATGTAATAATAATAATAATTTTTAATAGCTACTAAAGTTCCAATGCTTAATATTTTAAGATAATGATAAACAAAAATAAAATGAAAAACTATA